CTGAGTGTTTAACACCCAACTCATTTATTGTTTTGTTTTTTTGTTTTTTTGGTTTTTTTTGTCTTTTCTTCCGGTACCAGGAATCGAACTCACAACCTTGTGCTTGCCAGGCAAGCGCTTTGCCGCTGAGCTAAATCCCCAGCCCCCAGCTCATTTATTGTTACAATTGTTTTATCCCCTAGCATTTTGGACCAATAAAACAAGGGACCTACTGTCATCTATTAAAACAGCATGTTGACTAATCTCAGGATTATTGATGTCTCAAGATCAAACCCCAGATCATGTGATCTAGATGACATTATTTAGGCCAAGATTACTTCTTATGATAATAAATAAATAAATAAATAAATAAATAAGCAACCATGGACATCTTGCAGAATTTTTGTCAGAGTTAATATGAGAAAGTATTCTGTCAGGTTTAGAGCAAAGTTTCTCTCGACGGTGGTGGATTTGGTTAGCTGTCTCATCATAGTGCTTAAAACCCTGAATGTTAACATGCTGAAGACATCTGTTAGATTTATTACTGACAAGACTGTTAGCTACTGGGGTTAAACCAAGTAATTTAGACTTAAGATCAATTTTCTCATCTAAAAAGTAAGGACGATAATCCCTCTCTTGAGGAGTGTGATGAAAATTCAGTAATACCACTAGTTGGAAAATTATGCAGCAAATAATAGATAAATTGTATGTAAGAAGATGTGCTTTTATTAGTTTTCTATGTTATTAGAGTGTTGGTGGATGAATGAATTTGTTATACTGCCGTAACAAATATGACACTAAGTGGATTAAATAATATAAATTCATTTTCTCACAGGGCTCTCTTCTGTTTTTAAGAATACCAGGCCTATTGGAATAATGGCCTAATCTATGACTTTATTGTCTTACTTCCCAAAAGGCCCTACCTGTAAATACAGTAACAATAGGTGTATATTAGTCCATTTTCATTACTGTAACATGATACCTGAGCTAGATACTCTATAACAAAAATAAATTTAGCTCACATCCTGGAGGTCTGATAGTCCAAAGAGCAGGGCTCCAGCCCTGATGAGGGTCTCCTTGGCTCATTTTGTCATGATAAATAGCACTGTGGAGGGAACGAGGCAAGAAGAGGAGCCCATGTGGTAAGTAAGACTGTAGCTCCCAGCAGTGACCTCCAATTAGGTCCCAAAGGACTGAGCTTCCAACACATGCCTCCCTATGGGATAAACCACATCCAAACCATAGTAAGTGGTTAAGCCTTCGATATGTGAATTTCAAGGGAACCCATAACAAGACCAGAAGTCAGACTGAATAGACTAAAGGAAGAGCAGCAGGCAGGAAATGGATCCAATATTTATTTATTTATTTTTGTCTTCTTGAGACAGGGTCTCACTATGCAGTTCAGGCTGGACTTGAACTCACTTTGTAGCCCAGACTGGTCTCGAATTCACAACAATCCTCCTGCCTCAGCATCCTCAGTGCTGGGATTATAGGCATGCACCACCATGCCTGGTTCATGGAATTGGATCCAATAGATATCCTCAATTTTTCCAAGACATGTATGTGATAGTACACAGAACGAAGGAAGTTGTCCTTATTTTTATCACCGTCATTTTTATTGTACTAGGCTTGTGGCAAAGTAGAAAGAACATAAGGTGCTACATCAAAGACTGATTGTAAATTATATCCCTGTATTTCTTTTTATGTTACATCTGGCCATGCATTGCTTCATTTCTATGATACTCAGTCTCTACACAAATAAAAAATAGTTCTGCCTTGTGAGGGTTACTGTAAATATCAGAATTATTGTGAGGGTTATTGTAAAGATCAGGATTATGTTGTTAAAGTATATTAGCCCTCTGGCATATAACAGAAGTTCAATAAATGTTAGGCACTACATTAAAATCCTTCAAAATGCACAATCAGATGATGGCTGAGCTACAGGGTGAATCCACTGTCCTGTGCAGAATCACACTGCTCCACACCGAGCTCTCCTCCGGGAACCAGACTTGATTAGGTTCAGGGGCTTTGCTTTTTAAACTTATCATATGCTGGTGATTGCTTATGATTCCAGGTATGTTCTTAGAGCCTGTCAGCCTCCTGGAAATAGAAACAGCCCTTTGGCAGGTAAAAGTCATTAAGAAGTAAAGTAACAGTCAGTCAGAAAAACAAGAAAGCCCACAGGCAGACACTTCCACCGTGGAGCCTTTTGAATATTGCATGCAATGATCATCCTATCGCATACACTTAATTCAATTATACTGACCCTTCAGCCTTGAAGGCCTTTTGTCTCAGACTTAGCATCTACAAGTCTGAGACAGCTGGAGGAGGAAACTCTGTACAGAAATTCTGTAGTATGGCTCAGACTTGCTGCAAGGCATGAAGGCCAAGAGGTTAACATGCTATTTTGTTTCTTGCCAGTGGAAGGGTCACTAGGTCTAGACAAGGTCATATTGTGATTGAAAGGCTTCCCAGAAAATCTGACTAAAATCGCCTTTACTTTTGCCTATGCTTCGTTTCTCGGAACAATGAACAGAGAACATGACAATTCTAAAGGAAGGTATTTAAGATCCAGCAACAGCCCACAAAACTCAGTTTGAAAATATCTCTATGAAGAAAAGTTGAGGTTTAAGGAGCTCCAGAAGAGTGGAAAGTTGAGGATCAGCATCATTTGTTTATTTATTTATTCATTTACCAAAGAAGTCATGCCTACAGGGCATCAGACACTGTCAGGTCCAGACTATATACACACGTATTAAGACTTTGGTCATGTCTTCAGGGAATTTACAATGGCGAGGACAAACGTAAACGGGTCATAATGATGTGCTATATAGAAGGGCCTGTGGGATCCCTCACGGAGGCATCATCCATTCTGCCTACAGGGGGGACCCCAAAGAGGAAGCATTGATAATCACTTTGAGTTGTGAAAGATGTATACATTTTTCGTAGTAAAAAAGGAACAAGCAATATTTTAGGTTGAAGAAATTGTGCTATAAGTGATTCAAAATAAGTTTACATAAAACATTTTTCAAGAAAGTAGAACCTTTCCATTAGATGCTATCTATATACATTATATCTGTTGCATGACATTTATTTCTGTGTGAGCAAGTATCATAATACAAAATAGTTCAAACTTTTGGATCAACAACAATGTTGGGGAGACATTTTCTCTCATCCCATCTCAGGACCCATTGAGCAAAATCAACCCATTTATTCAGATGAATGAAAGAGAAAATCGCAATAGCCTTTCACGGTTTAACTTGATTTTCCCCATAAAGACCAGTCTCAGGTCAATGTGTTAATTCATAGATGCCTTTTCTGAGCTATTTGTAGCCCTTTCTAGTACTTTAGATGAGCACTTTCTTACTTTCTCCTTAGTTTTACCCTCAAAGTCTCAGACTTTGCTCCTAGCCTTCCTTCCCATCTTTCCATGTTCTTTTATCTATTTAACACTATTCTGAAGGCTTTTGCATGTCACTATTTCCAAATAAATAATTATAACACAAAAATTTCAAAGTTAGTGTTTGCTGTTACCTCGTTACTCATTTTGAGAAATACTACCATTCCAAGTATTTTTTTTTTTTATCGTTATTATTGGTTGTTTGTAAACTACTTGAGAGCAATGATTAGGACTTACCAATATTATGGCTCCTTCACCTGTTTTCCTGCTAAATGAAAGTTCTGGCCTCGAGGCCCTCAGTGACACAGGCCAATAGATAGAAGCAAATATTAGGAGGAGGTAGTGTGTTAGTGTCAAAAATGGTACGATTTTTGGAAAATGGTCACATTACTAATTGTTCCATGAGACAAAAGATTAAATGTTCTCATGATCTTGGGGTTAAAGGACCTCAGAAGCAACTGTTCTCTTTACCTTCCCTCTCTGAGTCTGGAATCTGTAGCCAAGAGGAAGGGACATAAATGAAGAAAATCCATAGCTCCAGATGGGGTTTCCTTCATATAAGGCTTTATTGTTCCTGCTGAGTTCCTCCTGTGAAGTATGAACTAGGTTACAACTGGGAGTAGTCATGCGAGCGCCATTTTACCTCACTGCAGAGAAGCTGGACTGAACGGTACTATTCTTTGAGACACAAATGCCCAGCTTTGTGATATATCAGCACCATTTCCAAATTTAGGTTTACAAAGTTCTATGACAAATGTGTGGATATCAGCAGATATTACTTTGGGGCAGCAAAATTTCTTTGCACAAATATCTTTGGAATCAATTGTATTAAGCAAAATTAAAAAGGATTCTTTGTTATAGGTCTTCTCAAAATCTATAAGTTCAACTATTTTTTACCAAAATTACGTTAAAGCTTATGGCATTTCCCAAACATGCAGGCACAAAATTCTTTTTGCCTAGAGCATCTTTGAGAAATAACAGCTTAAATGTAACTAACAAAGCAAAGTAAAATATATTAAAGCCTATCTCTAACCTCACACTCTCCAGGCTGTAAAAGAGAAGTAACTCAGAGAGTGTCTAGGCCCTAACCTTCCAGGGTGTATGTATGGTACTGTGGGTGTGCCAGTCACACCAGGAGCTGCAGGGGGCTTACCCTGGTCAGCACCTTGTCTGAACGTTTCACTTGTAGTTCCTGGTGAAAGGCCTGATTTCAAAGGCAAATTAGGAGAGTATTAGCAGAGTTCTCTATGGAAATGATGCTCATTGTTATTATACAACAGTTCCATTTTATAACTAGTACTTTGTACGTAAACACAAATGTCAGGTTGAACTCTTGGTTGATTTTTGTTACTTTTTCAACTGAACTGTATCTTTCAAATGCTAGAATCAGGATGTCCACCTGAAAGACTATCATGTGCAGAAACAAATTATTTAAAGTTCCTTGGCTTCGTACTATTAAATCTGAAAAACGTAAAGATGATTGTTGGCAGTGTGAGGATCCTTCCTCTGGGGACAGATCACAGGCATCTAGCAGATATTTCCTTCCATTGCCCTGTGTCACTCAGTGTAAGCCTTGGCAAGCAGCAGCTGGCCCTAAGATTCTTTTATCTTTGCTCCACAGACAGCGTGGAAGATGAGCTGGAGATGGCCACCGTCAGGCATCGGCCTGAGGCCCTTGAGCTGCTGGAAGCCCAGAGCAAATTCACCAAGAAAGAGCTTCAGATTCTCTACCGAGGATTTAAGAATGTAAGAGCTTCCTTTTTGACTTTATCTTCACACTGTTCTCAGAGGAGTACTGGGAAGCGAGAGAGAAGCAGGGAATAGACTTTGCTGTGAAAGCTCAACGTACAGGCATTTCTTACTGATGTGTCCTAGGTTTGAATCCAGCCAATATCTATTTGGATTTTCTCTTCCTTTGGTACACCAGCACTGGTACAGTGTAGTTGCCCATGAAACAAGGATGGGTTCTCATTAAAGGTTTTTTCAGTTCAGTTACTACTTGTTTATATTTTCTCCTTTAGCTTCATGATGTCATTTCAATAAGCTGCAATTATCACTTTATTTCTTAGCTATAATCTCTACACTTCACTTATAGATTGTGGCCTACCAATTAGCTTAATTATGGCATTATAGAACAATTACTGTAAGTTTTATTGTCTGAAGAAGATCACTCTGTCAAGGAGTTTAAGGCACAAGTCACTGAATCTGGCTTTCTGTGATCCAGATGTGCATATGACCTCCTTCCTGGGCAGATCTTCACAATGATCGATAGCTCGTGCTTGCCAGAGGTTGGGGATGACAGACAGGCCAGGAGTGAATCCCAGTAATCTGGCAGGTGCATCCTTTTTCTGAATACATGGTATATACACTGCATTAAATTTAATGGAACAGATTAATCAAACAGCAGAAAAAAATAAACACCATCATAAAAGCTTATAATTTGGATAGGGAGCAAAGACTTGCTGTCATGAATGTATTTGAAGATAATTCATCTTTAATAATATCAAGTGTTCGTACATTAAATGGCATACTGCCTGAACATGCGATATATATGTATAGATACATAGATGATAGAGAGATAGATAGATGTTCATGGACACCCAAAATAAAGTGGTTTGTTCCTTTCCCAGACCCTTCCCTAAAGAACCCCAGTTCCATGACCTGTACAAGCATATTCTGTCAAAATATTTCTACCCATCAGACCGTCTCAACTGCTCCCTTTCTGTAGCCTCATTCAGTCCAAATGAGAAACTCTGCCCCTTCTTCATTACCAACCATAAAACTTTCCTTAGATTCATAAATCTAGTTGGCTTTTCAGAATATTCCATAAGGATCCATCACGCACACTGCACATAACTTTGTACCATCTCTCTGATTTTACGGACTCTGACTCTATCCCATTTCTTTCCCCAGCCCTGTGCTTGCCCTGGATTTTCTCATTTTTCTCCTTCATTATTCAAAGTGGATTTCTGTTCCCAGTACCGGAGAAAAACCAAAAAAAAAAAAAAAAAACAAAGTGGATTTCTTACTCTTCCCAATGCTGGCCATTCACAAGGCCTTTGCGGAGGACCCTGAGCTGGATGGGAAGGGCACTTGCCTCATCCACAGGACTCTGATTCAAAGGAATTCTTGATATGTAACCTACTAAGATGATACTTACAAATACACATGGGAAAAAGAAAAGAGAGTTGACGTTTAGGTTAGAGAAAAATTAGTTATATCTCTTCTACAATAGTTTACATCCTCAGAGCAAGACAGGTACACTGACCACAGGCAACAGGAAAACACAGAAGGGCAAGATGGGGGAGGAAAAGGGCTAAAAATGACCAAACCCCATCCCCAAAGTCAACACTAAGACAAAGCTAGTCACAGAATAAAACTGTAAGGGGTTCACTGCAAACATTTAAAAGCAACTAAACATCCTTGCTATAATTCAGAGAACTTGGAATAAGCAAACTGTTTCCTTTTTTTTTTTTTTTTTAACCTTGGAACTCACATTGGATACAGAATGGTTGCGGAGTAAAGAGTTACTTAATCTAAGCTCCCAGCATCCCTGTGTCCCTCGACTGCTGCCGCGTTATTATTCCAGGGCCATCGCTGTAGGGTCTCTCGTCTGAGGCCTGGCTGCCTTTCATCCCATTTGCTGTAAATTGGAATCATGATTACTGCCATCATTAACCTTTGGAGCCAAGCTCTGCGGCACGTCTGACACGAGTGGCACTTGACAGCAAATTACCAGGCTCCAGAGTCCGCGTGCATTGCTTTCTTTTATTATCTTCTTTACCGACCTGTTCGGTTCTTGTTTTCCTGCCCTTCCCTTCTTTTCCTAGGTCTTTCCCTTTTCTGATCCCTCTAATCCCATCTCCTTTTCTTCATTCTCCTTTACTCCTCTTTCCCTCATTCAGTTCTTGTCTGTTTAATTTCAGTTCCTCCCTTTCTTTCCCCTTTCTAACTTTTTCCTCTTCTCCCTCTCTCCCTTGCTTTGTTTGGCCCCACCCTTCTCCTTTCTGTGAGATAAGTTTTCAAAAGACCTGAATGTGCCAAAGAACATTTTTATATAATTCTTTAAAACAAAGCATTGTATAGTTTGTTCAGAAAATATTAATCCATGTCTCTGGTAAACCAAACAAGAGTGGCCTTTAAATGTCTGTGTTACTGAGGTCCACTGTACAACTCTGACAAATGTGCCCTAAAGCGACACCAGGGCGACACCAAAGCGGATCAGCCCCACTCACGCTTTAAAGAATGGCAGCGATGGGAACTAGTTTCCATCAGAGAAAGCGAGCCACCCGCCCTTAGCTTCCCGAACGCCAGTTATCTCAAAGCCCTTATGATCATAAAATCATTTTCCTGGAAACAGTTGGGTTATTCATTTTAATGAAACCTTTTAAAATTCCGCATATTTTGATTAAAAGGATAAACCATTCTTCAGCATCTTAAAATAGTCACGCTCCTATGAGAGGGACTCAGATTGCCAGGCACCCCTGCAAGGGAACCTTAGCTGAGTCCCCGTGTTTTACGCCGGGCAATATATCCGACCGCATTCCCTCTCATTTTCAACACCGACTGTTAATATACATGAAGAATGGGAGAAAGAGGAGATAGAGCAGACTTCTCACCCTCCCACCCTAACGCACTCATTGAAACACATACATGTTTGATTCTTTTGCCACATGCTGAGCTGAAACTCAAAAGTGCGCAGCGATGGTGATGGAGAAATCCGTGCCGGTTTTCTTCACCCTCAGTGCACTTCAGAATACACTGCTGCCTAAAGGACTACGACTTAGTAGCTGTGGAATGGGTCACATGGTTGGCACTTCTTATGCTTCTAGGTGACGTGATGCTGCTGATGCAGGAGAATCCCAGGTGTGGTGCAGCTATCACAAGCTCCACTGTCACCCACATGTGCATCTGTATCTTCCTTCTTTGGGCAGCTCCTCCTGGCTCAGGACTCTGGCTATCTTTGTCTCTGAATGTTAGAACAGTGATATCTATGTTACTTTTTAAAGAAATAAATATGAAGCTCAACTAAAGGAGTTACTATACAATGTAGCCCCAGAGGTAGCCTCAGTTGTGTGCTCCATCAGTGTGGGGTGGTCATGGTTCACCTACGTAGCTCTCGGGCAGTGTCTTGGGTTTTGCACTGCATAATTATGTGCCAGAGAGGATGTAGGAAGATACCAAGTATTATCTACAGATCAGCAGTCTCAAATTTAACTGCATGTTGCAATCATCTGGGGAGCTTTAAAAATTACAAATAGTTGGGTCCCATGCATGGTGATTCTGCTGTAATTGCTCTGGGAAAAAGCTTGAGCATCAGGATTTAGAAAGCTTTTTGGGGAGTTACAATGTGCAGCCCAGACTGAAAACCAATGGACTAAATGTAAGAATCTATAAGGTTTTTAATCACAAGAGAAGAATTGACCTAATTGTGAAGATCCCTAAGATGTCAAATATCAGTAACTAGATTAGACTGGCTATACTGGAATCTCCCAAGGCCCTTGGGGTGTGTGCATGTGCGTGTGAGTGTGCGTGTGTGTGTATGTGTGTGTGCACTATCTCGCCAACTGTAGAGAAAGTAAATGTTCTTAGCTACAAAGACTTCGATTCAGTGCAGTCTACGGTTTTACTCAGAAATCCTCTTTTTTTTCTAATTTCTCAACTAACATTTTTGGTTCATATTATAGTAGACAGTGAAATGAAAGGGACATTTGAGAAGCACAGGAATTAGAAGATTATTCAAGTTCATACTATATTGCATATATTCATACTATATTGCATATAGTATGTGTTATCGATAATATATTGTCATCGTTATATGATATAAATGTAATATATGATTAATAATCCTGCTTTGCTGCTCTTTCAAAAATCAAGTATATTTCAAGTTTAGGTGGTCATGAATGGTTTACTGGGACATTAAGTTGTACTATGATGATGCGTTTAGGGCATTTCTTTCCAGTAATTAATAATATACAGCCTAAGTCTGTTCTCCCCATTTTCAAAAGGACAGGATGGGAGATAGTTTCAAGTAGTTAGACCTCTCTGCTTTTGGTAACCGATTCCATCCCCTCTCCATCTTGCCCTGCTTCCTTTTCTGTGAATTACATTGGGTCTAAGCTTCCAGTAGATTCAAATTTATCTTTAAGGCATCACTTTAATACTTTTTAATTTTCCTTTGTATCTAAAAATGTGTTAATATCCTTTTTATCTAAAATGAATAGCATTTGTATTAGCTTTCTAGTGATGTATTAAAAAATTACCTCATATTTAGTGGCTTAAAAAATCACTTTTTCATCACAGTCTTGAGGCTCGGGAGTCCAGAAGTGACTCAGGTGGGTTCTCTGATGGGTCTCTCAAGGTCACAATTAAGGTGCTGGTTGGTCTGCATTTCTTTCTGGATTCTGTATCTCCTTTGAAGCTCTCACGGTTGTTGGCAGAATTCAAACCTTCACTGTTGACACCTAAGACTCCCTTTATCATACTGGTGATTGCCTGGAGCCGCTCAGCTCTTAGCAGCTCCCCACAGTCCCTGGCCACGTGGTCTTCTCACAAGATCTTAGTTCCTGCTTCTTCAGAGGCAACGAGGGACAGGCTCTGGTCTGTGAAGGAACGGTCTTAAAAATATAGCATCATGGTGGATGTGACTTCCCACCCCATGACCTTCCATCTCAGCACACAGGGCAAGGAGGGTGAAAGATGTGGCCGACTGGGGTCTCCACAGGGTGTCACCCAGTGGGGATGTG